CACAAAGCTCTCTGCACCACTCTGCCTCCTTTTTGTCTTCCTCTGTCTTAAAATTGCCTTCTCATCCTCTATACATGCTTCTTCCTTCTCAACAACGCATCTCTGCTCTCATGAGGAGGCTCTTGCTTTGCTGCAATTCAAGACATCCTTCTCCATCGATTACACTGTTCCAGATCCAGATTTTTGTCAGGTTTTTTTTTATACTAAACCTAATTATTCTAAGATTGAGTCATGGAAGGAAGGTATAGACTGTTGTTCCTGGGATGGGGTTAGCTGTGATAATGTCACAGGCCATGTAATTGCCCTTAATCTCAGGTGCAGTTTCCTTTATGGCACCTTTCCTTCCAACAGCACTCTTTTCTTCCTCAGAAACCTACAGAGCCTCAATCTTGCCTGGAATGATTTTAGGGATTCCAAGATTCCATCGGAAATCAGTGAGTTTACTAGACTAAAGCATCTTGATATCTCTTCTTCTGGATTTTCGGGCCAAGTTCCCGCAGAAATTGCCCACCTCTCCAAGTTAGTTTCTCTCAATCTCTCCAATTCTGACTTGATCCTTGAAACGACCTTGAGAAATCTTGTTCATAACTTGAGTGAGTTGAGAGAACTTGTGCTTCCTGGAGTGAACATGACATCTGTTAATCCTCGTTTCTTCATGAATCTCTCTTCTTCTTTGACTACTCTTGATCTTTGGCGGAGTGCGTTAAGAGGAAACTTTCCAAACAGTATTTTCCGCTTTCCAAATCTCAAGAGGTTTAGTTTAGGTGGAAAGGGAAACCTCACTATTGATCTTCCAAGTTCCAATTGGAGCAGTCCTCTCCAACGGTTGCATTTAGGTGATATGGATTGCGGAAGGCGATTGCGAGAGTCTGTAGGAGATCTTAAGTCATTACAGTCTCTGAGTCTTGGCTGCAACTGGGAAGGTTCCATTCCAGCTTCCATAGGGAACTTATCTCAACTTACTTACCTAAGCCTCTCTTATAACAATCTTAGCGGACAAATCCCACCATCACTTGCAAACCTCACCCAACTTACCTCTCTTGGCCTTTCCAATAATCAGTTTTCTGGTCCATTTCTAGCTTCCATATGTAACTTAAGGCAACTTACTAGCCTATTCCTCTATTCTAACAATCTCAGCGGACAAATTCCATCATCACTTGCAAACCTCACCCAACTTACCTTTGTTAACCTTGCCAATAATCAGTTTTCTGGTCCCATTCCAGCTTCCATAGGTAACTTAAGGCAACTCACTCTGCTATACCTCTATTCTAACAATCTTAGTGGACAAATCCCATCATCACTTGCAAACCTCACCCAACTTACCTTTCTTGACCTTTCTTATAACTTACTTAATGGCACGTTGCCACCTTGGATTTTCACCCTACCTTTGTTAGAGTACTTGTATCTCAATCATAACCAATTTCAAGGTCAAATAAATCAATTGCTGCAAAACTCACTCATAAGTCTAGATTTGTCAAACAATAGATTCCAGGGCTCAATTCCTAACTCAATTGCTAATTTAGTAAATCTTAGTTATCTTGATTTATCATCAAATCATTTTAGTGATTTAGTAGAACTTGACATGTTCTCGGCACTTCAAAATCTGGAAACCATCTTTCTTTCAGACAATAATCTGTCCTTGAGAATGAATGTCACTGCCAACTTCACATTACCTAAACTAATTCATGTTTCCTTTTCTTCTTGTAACTTGAGTGAATTCCCCAATTTCATAAGACATTCAAATGGTCTGCAAAGCCTAGTGCTATCCAAAAATAGCATTCATGGAAATATTCCCGAATGGATATGTGAAAACGATGATCTTGAAATTCTTGACCTTTCTCATAACAATTTAATCGGGAAGATTCCAAATTGTCTTCCTAGGTCTCTCTCGGTGTTGAATTTGCAGGCCAATTACTTTGATGGAAATATACTACCATCTGGGTTTCCAGAGGACTGTGGATTACTAAATCTCAACTTACATGGAAATCAAATGGACGGTTTATTACCAAGGTCTTTGGTGAATTGTCGCATGTTAGAGATTCTAGACGTTGGCAACAACAACATAAGTGATACATTCCCTCATTGGTTGGAATCTCTACCGGACCTTCAAGTGCTTGTCTTAAGGTCCAACAAGTTCCATGGTTCTGTGCAGAGCACCAAAGAAAGTCCATCTTTTCCCAAGTTACGAGTTCTGGACCTCTCCAGCAATGATTTTCTTGGTCCTTTGCCTCTTCGGTACATGGAAAATTTTAAAGCGATGATGGACTCTCATGGAGACGATGGTTCCCCTGAATACATGAAGGTGTCAATGGGAGCCAATTCTTATCAATATTCACTGGTTGTGACATGGAAGGGATTCGACTATGAGCTGCAGGGAATCTTGACCGTATTCAGTAGTATTCATCTCTCAAATAACAAGTTTGAGGGAGAAATTCCAGATGTTATTGGAAAGCTTAGTTCTCTCAAAGGGCTTAATCTTTCTCATAACAACCTTACTGGTCATATCCCACCGTCACTAGGGAATTTGACGAATATGGAATGGTTGGATCTCTCTTCCAACGAGCTGACGGGGAAAATTCCTGATGAATTGGTATCTTTGACACAACTCTCTGTATTGAATCTTTCAAATAATCATCTCGTCGGACGCATACCACTAGGCAATCAGTTCAACACCTTTGGAAATGGTTCTTATGAAGGAAACGTTGGACTGTGTGGAATCCCATTGTCAAAATCTTGTGATGGAATTGGGACACCGCCGAGCTCCTTCCAAGAAAAAGATGAGTTGTGGAGATTTGGCTGGAGAGTTGTGGTGTTAGGCTATGGATGTGGAGTTGTTTTTGGACTG